AGAACTCAGGCCCCAAGATTTGGGCTAGACTCTGGATGTATCACGAGAGTGAATGAGTGGTCTCCACATGACCTGCGCTACCTGTGCAGCCTTCCAGGATGCTCAAGTTTCAATTAGAAAAGTCTGGATCAAAGAGATGAAATGGAGAAAATGCACCTAAGTGCAGAAAATCTCTGTTCATTTTAATAGGGAGTAATAGAAACACTGTGTAAAATGTTACCTGCCTGGTTTCCTCTGAAGCATTGTAAAAAGCTATCACATTAAGAGGATTGTTACATGTAATTAGGGCAGAGAATGATGTATTTAGGGTTTCAGGAAGGATTTAAAAACATCTGATCTGCTATGTCTTAGTTCCTGTGTTCCAGAAGGGCATGGAGCTTCTGGTTTTGATCTTTCAGGGGTGCCTAAACTGTACGCCGACTCTACTGACCATCCACAGAGCAATGGCAGCTCCCAGCTTGGGCTCCCTCAGCCAGATGCCCTGGGGAGCGCTCGTACCTCTGTATCTGCATCCTCTGCCTTAAGTTCGAACTCAGTGATGGTCTTCCGCACGCCCTCCTGCACCCGCATTCCCCAGTTGCGCACCACCGGCAGTGCATCATCCACAGGATGAATGGTGATGTGGAAAGTCTGAGTCACCTAGGATGGCAAAAAAGTGCAGCTTGGACTCTTGTCCCCAGGCCCAGCCACCTGTGCGAGGCAGGGGCTCTTGCTTTCTCCTCACCACTGCTGGCAGGCAGGCACCCCAAGCGCGAGGCCTCTGGGGGCAGACCAGGCAGTGGAGGAAACGGGTGCACCCAGGTCACCAATCTCTCTGTCCATGCTTCTCACAGTAGACAGGAAGGCACCAGCATGCACTCCGGCATGGAGCTGAGGCCCTTACTCACCTCGTGGAGTCCATCAGATAGCACAAAGTCGAACGCATCTGAATGCTTCTCGGTCTCACTGGAATGGACGTACTGCACATTCTGTGAAGTCACATCAGCCTGACTAAAGGAACTGATCCGGACACCTAGTGACAAAAGAGGAGACAAACAGGACGCCATCAAAATACCAGCCATGCCAGGGAAATGTCAGGCACTCACCAGGGAGGGCCTTTTGTATTCCCATACAGCATGGTCTGCCCTCAAAGACCTTGTGGTAGGTTATTTGTGGGTTTTTTCTGCCACGGCATATGTTCTGTAGGAGCACATGTTAACTTTATTATTGAGGCTTCTGCCGTGTGCCAAGCCAACAGCAGGTGTGCATTAAACACTACTATCTTTGCTCTTGGAGTTGATATATGCAGGTAAAATCTGTGCAAGATAGAGCCACTGGCTTATTCTCTAAATCCCTCTTTCATAAGTTTTACATTTCTCTTTAACCTCAAAGTCCTTTCTGAAAATCTGCCCTAACATTTAATATTGTGTGATGGGTTAGCTTTTGAGCACTCGAGTTAGAATTGCTGTATGGGTGCATACAACACTGTTTCTGTGATTAGGGAGCCATCGCTGACGTTATGGCTTGTGTTTCGATCCTCAGCAAAGCCTCGGCAGGCCTAGATGTTTGGTTTTTTGTTTTGTTTTTTCCAAGAAGTGGCCAAATCCAGAGTATGACTGATTCATGGTGCAGTGCTAGCATTAGGGGTGCTAGGATTGGGGGGTGGTGGTTACTAAATCACTCTACTGATTTCTTTGGGACCCCCCTAATTCTGGCAGCCTAGATAGATATCAGAGGGGCAGAAAAAAAGCTGCTAAGGCCCCCTTGCTTTGCTTTGCTACCTTCTCACCATCATGAACTGCTTTTCCTCTCTGGTACCTCTCTGCCACACCACCCTGGCCTGGAGCCAGCTTTTTTTTTATCCTCTCTCTTTTTTATATTAATTTTATTGAGAAATAAGTAGCAATGAGACAGTATCAAAACACGCTAGTATGACAGTTACAATAATACATTGCATATTGTTGTTTTTGTAATGAGTATTCATACTATAAGATGCATACATGATATCTTATCTAAACACTATTAATTCAAAACTTTAATCACATTCAACTAAGAGAAAGTAGCTGTGTATTTTGTATATACAGAAATACATTTTTACCACAAAATGCTCTTTCATTTATATCCCACTGTTTCATCTACTTTTGTCAGACATAGGCATTCCACTGCCATTCATATATTGTAGGTGCATGAATTCAGCAAGGTAATCCAATATAATCCAGTAGGTTATAACACTAGTAGATTATCTGAATGACTGGCAATGTCAGAAATTGTTGACTTGAGCCTTTTATAGCTCAGCATATTAATATGGCTTTACATTTCATTTTTTTTCATAATTTTATTGAGAAACAAGTAACAATGAGACAGTTTCAAATAAAATTGGTAGGACAGTTTCAATAATTAACACATTGCATACATTCTTCCTAGTGGTTAATTGCTGTACAAGATACA